CCCTCTGGTGCAGACCCTGCCCCCATCCCCACTGCCCATCCATTGACACAGCTCTATGCTGTTCCCTCGGGCCCTAATTTCTTTAAACAGGACTCCTTAAACGCCTGTTTCTTGCTCTAGACCACACCTACAGTGATTTTGTGCTAATTTCAGTAGTTGGATCAAAGACTGCTGGTTGGAGATGTTTGGCTGTGGCACATATCGAAACAGCGTCCTCCCCTCTGATGGTGACAGAAGGTGGAAGCTGCCCACCCTCACAGTGTGTCTCCTGCACCGCCCTCACAGCTGTCTCTACAAGGCTTGTCTGCAGTTGGGCTGCTCCAGGTGTTGCAGGAGCAGTGGGTGGCCAAGGCTGTGCAGCACTGGGGACAGCTAGCCTAGTAACTGCTTTCTGATATGGCCTTGTGTGGGCAGGTGTTCCTATGGGCGTGGGAGAGATGGGTTTAATTTTGTTCTGAAGCTGTTATCTAATGTCACTGTTAAGGCAGTAGAGAGGCCTAAGTTTGTGCGTAGCAGGAGCTGGGAAGGCCCTGCATGGCCCCCTCTCTGTGATGGTTGGCAGAGGCAGGGAGTCTAGCTGTTGTTTCACTGAAGGTGATTCCGTAGGCACTGAATCGGTGTTCCACAGCAAAAAAAGAAAGCATCGTTTCCAGACAGCTGGACTCTGGGAGGCAGCACTCATATGTTTTTGCAGCTGTATCTGGTAGATGCAAAAACTTTATTTTAAGAAAGAAATTTACTGAATGTGATGACAGTTCTTTTGCAGCTGTTCTTACCTTTAACTCATGATTTCACATCTTCCCAAAATAACTTAACAAATAACAAAGTTTTGTCTTGATGACAGTGAAAACTCATTTTTGTTTGCATATTGATGCTACCCTATTAAATAGCAGATGCTGGCTTTGGACAAGGCTATTCCCTGTATTGTGAGTTGGCATGTCAGTTCAGGGCTGAGTAAGCAAGAAGTGATGGAGAGAGCTAAATTTTTACAGTCCTGTTTCATCCTTTGATAGTGTTAATCGGGCTTTGCTATTCTGTAAATGGTTTTACCCTTGTATTTGATGCAGCTGAAAAACCAGTCTGAATCATGATAGCCAAAGACTGCAACAAACTGCTGGGATGTTAAGGCTCATCTTGATGTAATGGGCCTAGTGAAAAAGCTTAAGCAAACAGAGAAGGTGCTATCTGAAATGCAGTCTCGCAAATAATATCATGGTAAAAAAAAAAAATGTAGGAATATTGTTCTTACTCCCACATAACACTGGTATTGTGGATCTACCAGGCTTCTGTGGAGACACAAAAAGCAAAGATGTTTATTGCCACATCAATTCTTCAGTCTTGATTATCCATTTCTCTGCTGTCTTGGTACAGTTTAAGACTCTGTGCTCGAAGCCTTTAACAATTATATTTTCAAGACTATCTGACAAAGATAGGCTAAACTGGGTTTGAATTTTAAGCCTGAAGATAATGTTGAAGGATTTTGAAACAACTTACTGCGTTCCATCTTGATTTGCTGTTTTCCGGTTCCTGATTGAATTGAATATATGTAAAAGAGTGCATTTTGCTATTCTGTATTGATCCCCATTATCATGATGGTTTTAAACCTTTTCTGAGTGATGCTTTGGAAAAGGAATAGGAAAAAAAAAAAAAGTGCATATTTTCTGAAAAATTAAATTATTTAAAATTTCAAAGTCCTTTATTTCATTTTTTTCTCTTGTGTAAGTGCTTTTGAAGTTTTGAACTTGGTTTGTTTTGTGATGTTTAGACTTCATGCAGACAAACATAACCTAGTTTACCTTAGTACTGTAAAGCCAAGTAATAGCTCAGACATTTGTCTTAATAAATATTAGAACTATGATTTATCTTTAGCCATTCATAGCAAGATTTCTATGGATCTTTTCATTATTTTTTACAATCTGTAGGGAGAGATGATGCTACGTAATGCTGGGGACAATTTAGTCAGGCTTACAGAGCGTGCCAAGAAGACTGTAACTGTATGTCCTATTTGGCTTTGCAGCATCTCAAGCAAATCCAAAATGACTCAACAGTTCTGTATTTAATTTTTTTTTCTAGGACTTTTCCTTAATTGAAAAATTGAGACACTTTGTTTTTCCCATCGTGTCTTAATGCAGCTATCAAATGCCAAAATAAAAGAAATTCCACCAGGGTAGAAACTCTTTGATCAATTGCTTTGTTCAGTACCTCTTAATTCAGCTGTTCAGTTGTTGCTGATTGAGGGCTCTAGTGTGAAGTTTTAAGTAACAAAGAACATGAAGGCAAAAGTAGATTGATAACACCAGTTATGTTCATCACGATTACCAGATTACTTTTAATCCAACTTTGGGTTGTCAGTGAGTTTCTTTCTGAGCTCCTTGATCATTTAGATCATTCAAGGATACCCTTGTGTCATTGACAATTTTATTGCTTAAGAATTGCTATGTGTTTTTATCACATGGGCTGCTAGCTGTATTTCTACAGGTGCTAGAAGAATGTGGTTAGATGCCTTTGAGAGATTCCTTCTGACTTTTGAAATGGCTTCTAAAGCATGGGGTTCTTGATGATAATCTGCCACATGCTGTCAAGCCTGACAATATATGCGTGCATTTGCAGGACAAGGCTGTAGGCAGTCAGCACAGGGTTAATGGTTTGAGTTAAGGGCTTTAACTCAAACTTGGGAGGAATATGATTTCTTCTTATAAAGAAGATAAATTGTAGACCTGTCCAGAAGACATGCAAAAACTTCAACTTTAAGGCTTGTCGAGATGTAAACGTTGAGGTTCAAGTTTAAACTATTGCAATTATACCAGTATATTATGTCTACCATGTGGACTCTCCTTTTCCTCAGTATGTATGTTGGAAGGAGTAAGGAAGAAGGCAATTTATTGAAGCAAGAAGTCAACATAAGGTTTTTTTTTTTTTTTTTTTTTTTTTATGCCTCTACATTTGTATCAATAATATTTGTTGAGTTTAGGAGGTTATATTTGTAAGTTTGTAAGATGTGTATTTTAATTATGAGAATGGAGTGCCAGAATTCAGTCTGAAATCTGTCTTTATTCAGTTAATGCTGAACTACTTAGCAATACAATGGAGGCGTCCTGGCTGCGTTGAGCGAGAGGCAAACTTGAAAACTGTGAGTTTTGCATAGAGTCATATCAGCCTGCTCCATACAGACTTATTGCAGAAGCACACAGAGACAAGTGTTGGCTACATATCTTAATACTTGGCGTTTGATCCCTAACCCAGTAGGTATCTTGTGTTAATGTAAGGCTTTCATAAATTTCTCAAAAGGGTGTTGGGAAATAATTGTGCATTATAGAATCATGGATTCATTTACACTGGAAAGGGCCTTGAAGATCATCAAGTCCAGCTATCCACCAAACAGTGCAAGTTGACCAGGAAGCCATGTCCCTAATTGTCATGTCCGTACCATACCTCCAGTGGTGGTGAGTCCACCACCTCTCTGGGCAGCCCCTTCAATACCAAACCACCCCTTCAGCAAAGAAATTCTTCCTTGTGCAACTTTATTCTTGTTGCCTTGCACACTATCAAGACTAGGAAGATAACTGAAAATATTAGGATGAAGAAGTTTTTATTAAATATCCCCTAAATCCTGATTAATTGCAGTTGAATTTCTCACAGAATTGCCTGTTAGGTCTCGGTGTTATTGCAGTAGAATCCATTAGCAGTCTGACTTGTGTCTCCAGTCATTTGCTGTTAATGCCTGAGTTCTGGGGTAGCACTGGATGCTTCCCAGTGCAGCTCCTGCTCTTTCCATACTGCTGAAACTCCTCATGGACAACTTTCTGATCAAATAACAAAATTAGTGCACTGTTCTGATTTCCTTTAACCTTTCAGCTGTCTTAGACACCGTGGCCCGTTTTCTTCCTGAAATTTTGTGTTTTCTCAAATTTTTCCCACTTCTTTTCTTGATCAGTCTTTCAGTGCTTCTTTCCATTCCATCTTCCTGCATTTCAAAGGGATTGAACTTTATTTATTTGTGAACCAAATGTTCACATCTGTAAATGTAAATCAAATTAATCTTTATAAAAAGATTTGCAAATAAATATATCTCAGATGTTTCTTTTTCAGCTAGAACTGAAGAAAACTGCTTGTGGCTGTCAAGCTTAGCTATCTAGCTTAGTGGATTTCTGTATTGGTGCTTCCTTTTGGAAAACAGCCTCATCTTGCCATGAGGTCCATAACATATGTATCTTTTTTTTTTTTTTTTTTTTACTATGATCTTTCTGTGCACAAAAATAGTTTTCAATCTTACTGATATCTAAAATTTATTCCTAGATGTAATTTTAAAATAAATTCATTGTTGTTAAGGTATTTTTGTAAGTCCATGTCAAACTAGACATTGTTTGGTTTGGCTCCACCTCTCTTCCATTTCTTACTCTGTTCTTTGATGCTAATAAACTCTGTGGAATCAGATCTTTCTTCCCTTATTTGTATCACGCCTAGCACAGCATCTTTGACAGTTGCTGGGCACACTAAGACCGTTACAATATGAAGTAATTAACCTTAATCGCAGCATTGCAGAGAGATTTTCTGTAGTGTATGTTTTTGAGAGAGATGGGGTTGGAGGCATGCAGTAGAAGTTTCAACTGATCATTTCATCTCTTTGGAACTCATCACCTTGACTTCACTAAAGAAAAAAACAACTGCGTTATAAAAAATCTGACGAATAACAAACACATTGCAAATAATCTTTACGAATCCAAAGGGGCATTTGGCTACCTCACAAAACACTCTGTGCTTTGGCAAAGTTAGGAGCTTTGGCTTAGGAAGATCCATGTTTGGAATAACAGGGTGTGTTGCAAGTCAAGATTCAGGTATCTTGGCAGAGATGTATGCAGAATCTGGCACGAAGCCTGTCTGCACTGTGCCTAGCTGTAGCAAGTGCTGAAGTCCCTTGTGAACAATATATGAATCTCATTTTGAAGGGGAGGGAAAAAAAAAGAGGAGGAGGGAAGAGGGAGCCAGGATTTATTTTAACATTTAGTGGATATAAAAAAAACAAGTGTCAAGAAGCAAAACATTTTCATGAAGCATTCGCTGTGAAAATCCTGCAACTTCTTATTGCAAACCTCTTTATTGCTTGGATTGGCTGATTTCCAGAGCATCAAGACTAGGAATTGAGGGACTGAAATATAATCAGTGGTGATACATTTTAACCACATAAAACATTCTCTGCTTCCAAAGCCTCCAGTGTCTCTAGTAAGCAGTACAACAGCTCCTTGCTGGGAGACTCCAGGGACGTGGAAAATATTGGATCAAAATGGTAAGAAGCGCTTTACTTTTCACCAGCTTTAGATTATTACTTTGAAAAGAATGCTTGAAAGGTGATTAAATTAGTAGGAAACAGTTTTTAAACCAAAACCAGTGTGTGTAAGCTACAGAGGCATCCTCAGTGTTTTGCTGAAAGAGATCAGCAAAGCAAGTTGGTGACAAATATCTTTGGCACTGAACATATTGTGCATCTAATGTAAAATCTTTTAAAATTGGGATGGACTGCTACTAGAACTTGATGTAAAATGTGAGCCTGTCTGTCTGCTTGTTCCAGTGCAGGACGACAGCTGTATGGGCTTTTAATATAATCTCACATTAATAAACACTGACAGAGATTTTATACATAAAAATATAAATAAATCGATGCTGATTGCTTATGCAAGTTGCATGTTTCTGTTTTCTTTTTAGGTGCTGCTTTTTTTCTTTGGTTTTGTTTTTTAAGGAGCAGAGCTCCTCAGTATGTACCTTTCTACTTTCAGAGAGCTAGGAAGTTTTTATTTTTCTGTGTTTTTAATCTGTGAAGACCTATTGGTCACATTATGTATGCGAGGGGGAATAATGAAGGAAAACTTTCTGGAGTAGTACTTTTATGCTTCATAGCAATTTGAATATGAAAATAATAAAATTAGAATGTAAAGCACGTTAATGTAGAATCTGAAATTACTGTCAGTGCCAATTCTATTAATAGTTAAAGCAATGCCTGAAGATGCAATAAAATACTTTTACTAGCAGGTGTTTTTTAGGTATTAAATAATTGGTGGGTGGAAATGCAAATCTGGGGAGAGTTTACTCCCAAGACTCGTTGTTAAGACTGAGTATGTGCGTATTTCAATTAAAAAAAACAGCCACAAAAAAAAAACACCAAACCAACAACAGCAATGAAACAAAAAACTCCCACCAATCTCCTATATGGGAACTCAGCCATTCGCTTTAAGTGCATACTGAAGTCCAGGAATGCATCGATTATGAAGTTACATTACATCAGAGTGAAAGGAAATCAAATTACTGAAGTCAGGAGAATACCGAAATATGCTTCCTTGACAGCCCAGCTGATGTGTGGGAAATTATTCTCTTTGTGATTCAAATGGGGGAAAATAATTTTAAAATAGCAACTATGAGAGTTTGAAAAGCACATAGCAGATGTGAGAAGGTCTGATTTGGTATTGTTTGTCTGTCTTGTTTGTTTGTTGTTGCACAGCAGTACAAGGACTAGAATTCTAGAAGTAAAACTATCCCCGAATGCTGTCTGATCTTTTCCTATTCTGAGTGGTTTCACAGTGCAGCAAGAAATAATGCTGAAATACAGTAGGTAGAGAAATGTTGTCTTAACCTATATGTTCCATGTTATGACTGTAAACACACTTTACTATATTAAAGATTTATTACCCTTCTCAACATAAACCATAGATTAGGAAATCAATAATTGAACGGAAATCAGGCTGTAAGCTTCTTGGAAAGATATTAAGTATGAGCCTAAGAGTTGTGAAATGTTACTTACCATTTCCTTGACAAAAATGCTCACTGTTGAATATCTGTTAAGTACTGATATTCATTAATTGAGGAGACTTTATAATGATGTCATTTACTCTCAGCAATGTGGTCTTGGTTTATAGAGCTTTGTATCTAAACTTTGGTACATGAACAAATTGGAAATGCAGGAACCGGCTTTTTTTTCCTGTTGTAAACTCAGAACTTGACGAATAACAAATGAGGTTATGCATGTATCCAGGTGTGTGATTTCTCTTATAGCAAATCAAAGAAAATGCTCTCTTTTAGAAATAAAGCCATTCATATACTGCCATGTATTTGTTCGTGATAAAGGTTAATCTGAAGTAAGTTTGCTTTGTGTCCTGCTTGACGTGGATTAGTTAGGTAATTAGTGCAGGCAGTTCAAAAGGGATCTTTCTTTTAGTTAAGATTGCATGGAAAAAGATCTTCCATGTTTGTTCCTGGGGCAAGAGGGACTGGGGGGGGGCTGATAAGGAAAAAAAATAATTCACCCCACTCCTCCTGAAAAGAACTCTCAGTAGGAATCAGCTGCTTAAAGAATGGCACGTGTAGTCTGAATGGCAGTCTCTTATCACTTCAGCATGATAGGATTTGTTTCAGTGTAAATTAGTGGTCCTATGTTAGTATTGCAAACTATCTAATGGAGACCCAGGTTTAATCACTCAAAGTCTTTATTTCTAACAACAGAAACAATAGCAAGTAATGTACAAGCCTTACTTGAAAAACTGGGAGGACAGAAACGTAACTATTGGAGTAAGTTCTAATGAAGTATGATTTAAGATTAGTAGAAGAGATTGCTGGGTGCAGCGTGGATTGTTTAAAAAACAAAGTAATTCAGTAATTGGATACAGTGTTCATCCAAATGAATTTAGGTTATATATTTCTTTTAAATCCCAGTGACTAAGCAGAAGTCCTGCCTGAAAATATAACCCTGTATTTTAAGAGCATTGCTATAAACATTTGAACTATGTTTCACATACAGGGGAAAGAGGGAGTGTAATTGCTTTCTGTCTCTGTGAGCTTGACTTCACACTTGGTAATATCCTTAGATTTTTTCAGTGTTAGCATTTTTTTTTGCTTTGTTCTCCTGCCACTTTCTTGGCCAAAAAATTTACTTTGTGCATTCAGAAGTAGTCATGCTGACACTCATAACACTGCTGCTGAATAGATTTAATCAAAAATCTTAGTAGACTACAGCTTTGGTGAACGACAGATTGTGTGTGTGCTTAGTGCTAGCTGGTATGCCTCAATTAACTTTTGGCACAGTTTTATTCAGGTGATAATGCTGTAGCTGTGTAACAGCTCTTTAACGCACCAGCAAGTCTGTGCACCATATGTAGGATGAAGTTCATACCTTGCTCCATAAATACTGCTTGTGTAGAGGAGGAAGAAGAAAACAACTTGAAACATAATGCTGAAATCTGTGCAGGTAAGTGTTTGAGTTTATTCCTAATGAAAAGAGCATCTGTTTTGAAATTTCAGCATCCATATTTCTGGAGTTTGAATATTTTTAGTGAACAAAATATGATAGCAAACAAGTTTTATGCAAGGATTTCTAAACTGGAATAATTTTTTTTTTTTTTGGTGGTGGTGGATTTTTTTTTTTTTTTTTTAAGCTGTTTTACTTATATTTCAGCATCAATATACTCTGCAGATCAGGTTTAGCTCACTGAAACCTGTGTTTTAAACTGTGCCATCAGAGAGGCAGTACAACATAAAATGCTTTCAGGAAGTTATAAATTATTTGCTGTGGTTTACATAATGTATTAGCATGTCTGCTGCAGGGTTTAATTCCTTTGTCTGTGTGAGATACAAAGAAATTATTAGGAAGGGATGCTTTTAGCCTTAGTCTGTCCTGATGGCAAAAGGGAAGGCAGGGGAAAATGAAAGCAGGTGAAAAGGTCAGTCTGGTCTCCACATGAAATAATTAATGGGAGCAGCTTCCCAAAAAATAGAGCCACAGTGAGCCGGATAATTTGTAGTTTTCCTCACTTGATGATGTTCATATTAGAGTATTCACGCTATTTTGAAATATCAAGACAAAACTGCTGCCTGTGTATGTTAGGACCGTCATAGCAACGTGACGTTTTGCTGCACGTAATTGCTTGTATGTGTCATGATCACATAGAGAATACTGCAAAAAATTGTGATTAAGAGTTCTACATAAATAAAATGACTGAGAGTAGACAAGTGTACTGATGCCTCTGTGCCAATTGATAATGTAGAGGTGTAAAATAAGTCAATCAGAGAGTTGTGCACTGAAGGTATGCTGCCAGTGCTTGTAGTAAGGAGTGTGATGTGGTCAGAACTGAGAGTGGTTAGTGTGTGCTGGTGGGAGATGCATTTGCACAGCTTGACCAGATTTTGAGGTTTAGTGATGGGAAGCTTGCTACTTGAGCTCTTCAGGTCTTATGCATTGTTTTCAGTCTACTGTGTATTTCAGCAGTTAAGGACATTTTCTTTAAATATGTTTTCCAATGTAGCTGTGTCACCTGGGGATACGGCTACACAGTCAGCTCTCTTTTATCATTTAATAAGGAAGTGGAGGACTCTGAGACAAGTGTCAGGAACTGTGCCAGAAGCTCCACTTCCCTCTGTTCACCAAGATACACTCCAGGTATAGAACTAAAGCTTTTGGATCCATGAAGATTTTGGAATGAGGAAATCTCTGGTGTAGCTCTTCATTCAGTTGAAAAGAATAGACAGATAAGCGTGTGAAACCCATAGCTCTTCTACCTCCATTTCTATAGTAGGGTTATAGTCAAGGCTTAAACTCAGTATTGCTAGCCTTCTGTGTAGGCCAGAGGTGTACGTAGACTGTGTGTTTCAGTTCTTTCTTTCTATTATTCTCTGAGATGTGGCTTTTTTTAGTGGCTTTCATATGATTTCCTCTCTGTCACAGGGTAACAGGGAGTGCATGTGTTGAAGGCTACCCGGCTAGTGGCTGCTGATGTGTTTTTTTTTGTATACATTTGCATATACAATAATAGGGAGAATTCCTGTTTTGGCAGTGTAGTGGGTATTTATTTGACTATGTGATAATGGAGATTTATTTAGGAGTAATGGCAAGGAGAAGGATGCTGTAGGACTGCACCTCTCACTTTACTTTATTCCTGTCGTTACTTCTGACAGTTTTTGTTCCTTCATGTCCAGAAAGAAGAATCTTTGTAATATTGTGTAGATTTTATCAGCATTAGTTCTGGAGAGAAAGTTTTGGAACTGTATAGATATGATTTCAACCAAACACGCTGTTTCACCTACCGAGTCCTGAATAAACAAAGAAGTACTTTGCAGACCTCTGATTCGCTGAGGTAAAAATAAATAACATTCAGTTGACTGAAGCCAGCCTGCAAAATCTAGGCTAGAAAAAAGAAATGCTTTCAATCTTTTTTTTTTTTTTTTTCATCTTTCATTGAGGAAATAGAAGGGAGTAATTTTAGAAATGCTGAAAAAGTGCTGTATGATGAAAAGCTCCTATAAGTC